CTTTATAATAAGAAAAAAAATGAAGGAAAAACACGTATCGGTATTTGAACTTAGACTAAATATTTGTAGAATTCCAAGCTTGGGATAAGATTGATTGAGTTGCTTCTTGGGTTTCTTGATCATTAACTTCACTTTGTAAGTAAAATTGTGAAGCATCTTGAGTTTCAACATTGCCATCAGTTTGCAAGATTGATTGAGAAGGATCTTGAGTTTCTTGTATATAAACTACATTATTCTGCAAGACTAACTGAGAAGCATCTTGGGTTTCCGGTACGTAAACATTATGCTGTTCGCGTTGCGGTCGGAGAGTCATAACTGACGGTGTACTTGCGTTAGATGTGTTTTAGGTCGAAGGCGGTATTAAAAACCGGACCAAAATTGCTTGTATTTCACTTTGTGCCAGTAAAGATTGTTCGAATGACATTTTGTCCAACATTAAAGCGACATATGAGCCAAACGCACTGTTGGCACTTTGAGCTCCAACGGGAGTTGTAATTATGTCGTTACTACTGCGTAAACTACTGTGCACTTCGCGTACTTCATTAACAGCCGAAGCAAGAATCTGTAAATTCTTATTTTTGGATGTCTTTCCTTTTCCCTTGCCTAAAAGGCTAAGTTGGAGCTATGTGAATTGGCGCTGACTGTGAATCTTCAATATTTTGTGCAGTACTGGTCGTTGGCTCTTGTGAGTCATTTATTGAGACTGACGATGGCTGTGGATCATGTGCATTTGTTGAGACTTCAGTTTCATTTTCTGATATTGCATTCTGTATTTAAAGAATATAATTAGATTATTTTCTTTTGATTGCAGGTACCAGCTTCAGAAAACAACTGGAAAACAATAAGTAGTGGATTTGAAACTCATTGGAACTTTCCAAACTGTTGTGGTGCCATCGACGGCAAACATATTTTGATACTAGCCCCTCCAAATTGTGGCAGCGAATATTTCCGCTACAAGGGCTCGAATAGTATTTCAGTTGGCAGTTGTCGACTTTAACTACAAGTTTCTGTACATTAATGTTGGTGCCGAAGGATCACAATCAGATGGTGGTATTTTTAAAAATTGCCCGATTTCAGAATTAGAAAGAGGGCTTTTGCCTGAAGGATTATTCCTACTTGGTGATGATGCTTTTCCATTAAAGCCATACTTATTAAAACCATATAAAACTTACAGAGGTCCTTTGACAATACCTGAAAAATTTTTTAACTATCGTCTGAGCCGAGCAAGAAGAATTGTGGAGAATGCATTCGGTATTTTGATGAGCAGGTTTCGGATATTTGATGGAAAAATAGATTTGAAGCCTTCCACAGTTCGCAAACTTGTGTTTGCAGCCTGTTCTATTCACAACTGGCAGCGTGAATCATCGCCTTCTTATTTGCTAGTAAGTGCGGTCGATCAAGAAAATATACATGGAGACTGGAGAAATTATACCCGGTAGTTGGAGAACCGAGATTAAAGAATTGCGTAATCTTGAGAGATTTGGGAGTATTCAAAGCACCAATTTAGCTAAGAGAATATGTGACCGAATGAAGGACTATTTCAACAACGATGGAGCTGTACCCTGGCAATATCGTCATATATCCTAAATAGTGTAATAAAATACTGTTTTAATAAACACTAGGTACGTACCTCAGATTGTATTGTTCCTTCAAAGTTATCCTGAGTCTCGGTGCTTCGTGTAATAGATTTTAATAATGTATCCATTACATAGTACCATTTTAAAGAAGGCATGTAAACTTCGTTACTTCCACTGCCAGACTTTTGATATTTTTTTTATTTTCATTCGTTCTTGGTAATAAGTACATCGGAGGTTTTGGATTTTTTGTTTTAATTCAGAAACTCCAAAGTTTTCCTTGCTCATTGCACGAATAATATATTCATAGGCCGCATTCCTTTTATTCTTATCTTTATGATCACGTTGGCTTATATCCCAAATACACGGAAACTCCCCGTAAAGCTCCACTAGTTTTAAAGTTTCTGATTCAGCCCACTTCATGATATTTTTTTCATAAATCACTACTACTAAAAAAACTGCGTACAACTTTAGTAAACAATGCCATGTGCCTTTTGTAAACAAGTCTAAACTATTTACTCTACTAACCGTTTACATAGGTCGAGTACTCGGTAGAATAGAGTGGACGCCGGGGTGGGGAAGGAAAGTGGTAGAGTAACTCCCACGGTGCTAGCCTACTCTACTCTACCAGCGATGTCTACATAAGTATAGTAAGTAGGATAGTTAGAACTCTACCGCTCTACTCTACCGTTTACTCTACCCGTGTCCAGCAGCCTTTTGAGTGCTTTGCAAGTGGACAACTCAAATAACGTCTAACACTAAACTAGGTCGCGCGCGATGAATAGCGTGCTGCCAGATCAAATTTGCGTCACTCATCCACTCCAAATAGCGCTGCTGCTAGAACTAGCTGCCGCTAGATATTAACCCATTTAGAACGATAATTTTTTTGTGAAAAATTCGTGTTTCATTAACAAAAGATAATCCAAGAAAGCCTAAAAATCGAAGGAAAAATATTTAATAAAAAGGGGGCTGAGGCGGTGTACCACATATGGTACAGTAGGACTATAAAAGGTGTCCCAGAACGTAACGGTCAAACGAAAAAGGTTTTGTAGACCATTGAAGAACTGTTCAAAAAAATAAATTAAGTCCTATACCCAAATTGCGTGGTTTAAAAGATAAAGGTTGATTTATAAATTTTCCGGAAAATCATCCTGTGGGTAAAGCTTATAATATGCTATGCATTAAAGTTTTATCGAGCAAGTTGAACTCTTCACATTGTAAAAAAATGTACCCACATGGACCTGGCAACTGTATTCAAAAGTTAGCGCAATACATATGGATTTCAAAATGGTACATTACTTGGTACTTTTATTTCAACTTTTTATGCTATTTTTTTCTGTGGCAGAGGGAAGACTTTGTGCAAACTACTCGATTGGATATTTTTTTAAACGATTCGTCCGTTCGATTAATGTTTTTTGTGTATTCAGTCCCCCCCCCCCGTGACCATGAGTGCTGTAGAGCACCCGAAACCTCAGAAATTTAAAAATAAGTTAAAGTAGTTAATTAAACGCGATAAAATCCGTAAATATGGTTTTATTCAAGGCCTATATGGGTTAATAGCGACATAGCACCATGGCAGCTATGTACATAACACGCGCTATGCGGAATGGAAAGATAGCGCTCTTTAATATGGCGCTATGTTCTATACAAACCATCATTACTTCTAGACATAGGTTTCTCTCAAGGTGCACTACTTAGGCCAATCTTCGATTTCACGCATAAGCGGCATTTACATATTCTACCTAATACCAGCTACATTGCGCAGATCCTCGCTCCATTGTAACGATGTAACTTTACTTACTACGGATTAGCGTGGATTGAATAGAAAAATAACGCATCAGCATAATTTGTAGAATTTATTGAGTACAATTTAAAACACATCATACGTGGATGTATGGTCTACGAATTTTTCCTGCTTCAATTACCTCAACAACGCACTATGGTACCTCTGTCCACGAACTCTGGTGATCTGTGTGTGTCTGTGGTAGGGATGATCGATGTTGCAGAAACATCGATGATGGCATCGATGTTGGTGTCGATAGCTTAACATCGATGTGTCCTACTCAAAACATAGATGTTGGCCATTATCGATGTTTTTGCACATGTACGTATGTACCTATTTAATAGGTTAAAAAATTAATGATGTTGTTTATGGTTTATTATTAATGAAATAAAAGAAATTATTAAAAATTTAAGCGTCAAACAATAATTAAAAAAATGGGAAGAAGTTAACAAATATCAAGTTCATTTGTTTATTTTTGCCGATGATGATGAATGTTGTTATTTTGATATTTTAATGTTCCTATACACTCATAAATTCGGTATGAAAAAATAACTATGGGAGCTAATTTACGATTTAGACGTAGGATTTATATCAACTACTCCTATCGCGAAATAAAAAAAATATCCTAATAAGAAATTATCAACCTTTAGTTATTAACGAATTTACTCATTTTTTACTTATTGATGATTACATATTGAGAAACAATTAACAAACTACACACAAACCAAATAATAGGCTTTTCTGTTATCTTTGTTCATAATTTTTTAATCAGTTGGCCCAAGTAGTAAGTATCCACAGCCGTTTATAAAACGCACAGTCGAATGCACTATGCAATGAAATTGTCTATGCTCACGATCGATCGGTGATTTATTTTCATAACATTCATGCAAGCAATAAACTCGTTACGACGAGTTCAAAAAAGCAGCTTAATATAGTTGAATTATGTAGATATTTACATATTGTTTCAAAGTTATGTGGGTATAGACAGCGAGGGAAAAAACAATAAATTTGAATATCAATTTACTTAGAATAGTTATTAGGCGACAATCGACAACCACCACAGAATAACGAAGCGAAAGCAGTGACAAATGTAAAATGATAGTTCACACTTGGAAATTAAGTTTGACACACCATTATGATATTTGTTTAGATGATCGATACGTTTTGGAATTTTGAATTATTCACAATTTTAAACCTTTAATAGGAGATGCAAGATTTAGTTAACACTGATTCCTCGGGTTCGCATTGTTTACAAGTTCTTATTAATCGATTATTGGTTCATTCACATCGATGTTTCGATGCTTGACATGTGGCAACATGATGTTTTAACATCGATGTTATAATTTTTAACATCGATGATCATCGAACTTCCCTAGTCTGTGGTATTTCTCTGTCTATGTCATAGATAAATAAATATGTAGGTCTACGTCCTATGCATTTCTGTATAAATTACTTTACTCTATGGTCCTATGACGTATGACGTATGACGCATTAAATTTCTACAGTTTTCTAGTGTTCTAATTCGTCGAGTGTTGGATAACAGCAGCTAATATTTTATTAATGCTTGTCTGGTATCCATAGTATTTAGGCGTAAACTCGGTGAATTTGTCTTGCAATCAATTTTCTCGAAGCCTGTAGAGAAGATGGCTGCTCCACCAATTTACAATCCTGTAAGTAATCTTACTAGTAAACGAAAATTAGTATATTTTTGGTTACCGCTAATAACAAATTTTGATACGGCTTTTGTTAAGGACTCAAGGGCGTTCTCGATATTTTCTATGAGTGTTATTTGCCATGTAAACACAGTACACTATTGTTTTATCAGAAACCATTTAAAGGCAAATCTTAAATAGTTTTTGTTGACTCTAAATTAGTTTTCAAGGCCTTACCGGTGCGCTGCTGCGATGGGGCGTTACGACTTAGCTTTATAATGATGACTTTCCTATTGTGCAATATAATTCGTAATTATCACCAAATTAAAACAAGTAAGCTTATTCTAGGTACTATGAATAACTGGCTTATTCGGAAACATAATAAACATAGTCTCTTTAGATTACACAGGTACAATTATCAATGATAATTATTCAATAGTTAATGAAAGGAATATTGTTTTATATGTTACATATTTAGAATATTTTTATTAACTTGTAAAATTGTTTTAATTATTTGGCAACAAACTAGTGGGTAGCTATGAATTTAGTTTTTAGTTTTTCTAATAATAGATTATGAATTTGTCTGCATTGTTCATTGTACATCATGGTACATTGTAGATTAGGAAGAACTTAAAATTAACTACTCCTGCATATTAATTGGGAGGGTGGGTGAGATAAGGGAGGATTGAAATTCTCTGCTGTTCTCATCCCCCCTCCTGGAACTATATTTATTAATATAAGTTTTTAAAAATTTCACGTTTAAATCACAATTGAAGCCCTTTAGTACAATTAATGGCACCATCTTGTCACTCTCATTTTTGTCGACCAAACTATTGAAGTGTTCCTTTCTTTATACTGAATTTTCTTGCCAACCTCACTTACATACTCATAAATGACCCCATTTCTAATTAATGACTACTCTCATGGTTCTGCTGCCAAACCCAACTTTCACTATCACAAATTAAGATATAGAATAAGAGTAATAAAACATTGTACGAGGTGTGTTCAAAAAGTAAGGTGACTTTATATTTTTATGAAAAACTATTTATTTATTCATCAATATATATGTTGTCCCCTTCAAAGTAATCCCCCTCAGATATAATACACTTGTGCCAACGCTTTTTCCAATCGTCAAAGCATTTCTGATAATCACTTTCTGGTATAGCCTTCAGCTCTTTCAGCGATGCAGTTTTTATCTCTTCAATCGTTGCAAATCTTCATCCTTTCATAGGTCTCTTCAGTTTTGGGAACAGGAAAAAGTCACATGGGGCCAAATCCGGTGAATATGGTGGCTGAGGCATGATTGTAGTGTTGTTTTTGGTCAAAAAACCTCTCACAAGCAAAAAGCGAAATTGAGCAATTTTGGAACAAATTTCGCTGACACACGTTTCATGCCCAAAATATCCGAAAAAATTTCATGGCAAGAGCCAACCGATATGCCAACATCCTCCGCAACTTCTCTGATAGTGATTCGACAATTTTCCAAAACAATTTTCTTCACTATTTCAACGTTTTCATCGGTTGTTGACATGCTGGGGCGTCCAGAGCGAGGTTCATCATTGGCATCTTCTCGGCCATCTTGAAAGAGTTTGTACCACTTATAAACATTTTTTTTTTACTAAGAGTAGACTCACCGTATGCCACTGTCAACATTTCAAGTGTTTTGGAGCACGTAATTCCATTTTTTGCACAAAATTTGATGCAAATTCTTTGATCCATTTTTTTTGATAGAAGAAAATCGCCAAGCACACCAAAGTACGTCTGACCTTTGTAACTGTCAAAAATAAACTAAACATGCTATACACTTCAAATTTGAAACATATGCTCAGGACATGTGTACCAACGCAACAAAATACAAAAATCGAAAATCGAATGTGCGTTGCCCGCGAAATTCAAAAAGTCACCTTACTTTTTGAACACACCTCGTAAATAACCATATATACCTTTATTGATACAATTTGACTTCCCATAATAGAATGAAATCATGGTACTTTTACTTATTACTCTGTTCCTTGTATTCACTTTTCCTTTTACAGTTATGTCATGTTAAATACAAATCCTCACTGAAAGTTAAACTCAGAAGGAGTCTGTGTAATTAGGATTTGCTTACCAACTCTCTTTTCATTATTATTTCTCATATCATTTTACTTTCTACCCTTTTAGAAACCATCACTTTCATTCTGCTTTATTGTTTTAGAAAAGTTGAATATTTTTATGACTTTTCTAAAATATTTAGTTATGTTACCATTTGGAGTATGAGAGCACAGCAGTTTATCAGTGTAAACTCAATCTGGGATCCCATTTTTTTAAATCTTTCACATTTAGTCTACCATTATGCACTTGAATATTGTCGGATTAATAAAGAACTCTTTTGAAGTGAGAGACCTGTGTCCAGTTGTGGGACTTATATATATAACCTGTAACTTAAGTTGTAATATTGACACATTGTAACTCAAAAAGTGAGGTTTACAGGAAAGCAAAAAAACTGTTATGTGCTTTTCACACCTTAAATTTGGGCATTATTTATGATTTTTAATAATGTTTGATATTTAATTGCAGTCTAAATTTAGCCTTAATATTGCAATTATAAAATAATAAAATATTATTTTATATAAAGGTATAATTATTGTTCCTCAATTTGCTTTATTCTTAATTTATTATCATGTTACAAGTAGCAGATTTGAATCCTCAAGGTAATAATATTGTAAATGCACATGCCATACTCCTAAATGTGTTTATATTTTATTTTTGCCAGACCTAAAATAATGTAAGTGGACTTATGGGTACTTCTTAGCTAGGAATTATGGTTGTGAAGAAATGTTGTAAGTAAATATACGTGGTAGAGCCATGCTGCAGTTATATTAGTAGTATAGTTGTAGCACGAATGGGTCAGCTCGACCGGGGAAGGACCACACTCTCACAGAATACTAGCGTCAAATAGTAGCTTAATTGCTGCTGTGTTTCGTATGGTGAGTGTAGAGAACCGGAGACCCTTTTTACTGGAAACTTGGCATTCCATCTTGGTCCTCACAGGTGACAACGCATCTGCATTTTGATTCGTAATCGAGGATAGATATAGATGTCTATGAGCCACAGCAATCACTTACCATCAGGTGGACTTTGTGCTTGTTTGTCACCCTATCCTATATAAAAAAATAACCTAATGAAAACAATTATGGCATGCTGTTACTTTAAATCAAATAATATTGTAACAAAACTTACTGAAATTTCAAGCTTTATACTTTTATGGGAAAAATTTTATATTTTATTTGTAAAATACTAATATTAATAGTAGTATTCTACACTATTATTACATATTAATACAATAAGGCTTTACAGCTTTCTGTGTTTTGTATATTAGCTATGATTCATATTAGTTATTTTTGTTTAGTTAATAAACTTGAGGCCTCAGTGCTGCATCCCCATAGGACAATGCCGTAGCTGAGCCATGCATATGTATACACTTCATAGGTTGTTATTGTGGTGGTTATGGGTGCGTTTGGCAGAAAAAAGTGCTAGCAAGCGCTTGTAAGCAAAATGGCGATCGTAAGCGGTAAGCGCTGTCAAATCGTAGGTAGCTATTTTCCTCTAGGACACGAAGTTTTAACCGGGGAACGCAACCTAATTTAAATATATGTTTGTAAAGTATTCATATTAAAAACTTACCAATTATGAATTTTTAATAACATGTATAAATGTTTATTCATGTCATTATATTACTTAAAACGAATATTGCTCAAAACTACTTCAAAACAAACAAATTAAATAAGCAAAATGGCGGATTGTGTCAGCGCTACTGAAGTAGCAATCGTGTCCTGGCCGTAACCATTTCAGCGCTTTTTTTTGCCAAACAAACCCTATATCTGTTGTTTTTTTTTTACTCCTCGTAATGCATACATAAATCTGCTTAACTTTCTATGTAATGTTTCCATGTGTGGTTTCCAAGTAGTATCTATTATACACCTAGTAGTGTGTGCTCGTTAACCGTATATATAGTGAAGCTATCATTATCTATATTTACACCTAACTTCGGTTTTTGGTATGGGTGAAAAGTCGTTATTTTAGTTTTCGATAAGTTTATCCGCAGGTTATGTTTATTTAGCCAGTCCGTTGTTCTTAATAATATGTTGTTAATTTTTTCCGTTAGATTCATTGGACTTTGGCTTGATATAAGAATAAAAATATCGTCCTCAAACATGACACAGTATTCCTTCAGAGCCTCTGCAGTCATTAATGTCAAAAGTCAAAATCAAAAAGAAAATCCCATCTCAACCTCAAAATGAATTTAGGGGGTGGTAGGTGATGTAGAGGGAGGCGGGGAGTTGTAGAGTCGCCCTCACTTCCCCCTCCTGCCGGACGTGCTTAGTTTTATAAATTTTTAAAAATCTCATTTTGAGGTTATGTTTTTGACTATAAACCTGATTTATGGGGGAGAGTTGGGGGAGGGAAGCACCACGTAGCGCAGTCGAGGGAAGCCCGTTTGATGGAGCCCCGTTTCGGGGGGCTCCCACTTCTGAGTGGTTTATAAAAAAATAACCACGAAGTGGGATAGCGGGGTCAATTCGCTCGCTTCGCTCGCTCACTAGACCCCTTCTAACCTAACTAAGCTAAGCTAACTAAGCTCGCTTTGCTCGATAAAACACAATAAAACACCAAAATATTAACTTTTGTAAAAAAAAGGATCTAGAATCGAAAAAAGTCGTCGAAGAACAGGCGGTGGCAGATAAAAATGTTAGGGAGCACATCGATAACGGTGCATTAACTTTTAATGTGAGTGGTATAATCGGGGACCAAACCTCTACCAAATGAAACACCTTACTCTCCCGAATTCCTGCTAAACGATTCTAAATCCAACCCACTTATAATGCTTATCAATTAAAATTGGTATTAAATTATTTAAAAGATAATACATATAATAATATATACATAGAGTTGAAAGTGAAATACAGTTTGCTTAAAGTAAACTGAAAAGCAAGTGTTTTGCATCCCAAAATTTATAAATTGCCTTTAGACTTTTTTTATTATAGGAAAAGGGTGACAAGCGAGCACACAGTCCACCTGACGGTAGGTGGTTGCTGTGGCCCATAGACATCTACATCTATCCTCGTTTGTGAATCAAAATGAAGATGCGTTGTCAGCCTTGAGGACTAAAATGGAATACCTCTTTTCCAGTAAAAAGGGTCTCCGGTTCTCTACACTCACCATACGAAACACAGCAGCATTAGGCTGCTATTTGACACCGGTATTCTGTGAGAGTGTAGTCCTTCCCCGGTCGAGCCGACCCATTCGTACATGTACGAATGGGTCATGTACATGCTACAACTATACAATTAATAAAGCTGCATCATGGCTCTACCACGTAAAACATTGTTCATGAATGAAACACTATGAAGCTACATATACTAAAAAATTAATATACTGTTGAAAATTGAGCAGTATACAAATAATTGTAGTCTAAAAATTAAATAGAAATGTTATGTTATAATTAATATTTATATTATAATAATTATGTAGTAGAAATATTTTGGTTGATAAATATATTATACTGCACTCAGTAGGCACTCTTGGTTGATAAAGTTACAGCCTATATACGTCCCACTGCTGAGCACAGGCCTCTTCCCACTATAGGGTTTTAGGGCAAAGAAGTGTCCGCTGGGCTGCCCCAGTACATGTTTTTTTTTAAATATTAGTAATCCTATTAATTAACATTACTAATATTCCTTTAACCACTCCTGGTAAGCTTAAAACGCTTGTGTTAGGAGTGGTTCACGACAGTAGTCGAATGGCGGATTCGAACCCACGACCTTTTGAGTTCGCGGTCTGAGCCCTGCCATTAGGCTACTGTCGCTTTGTTGACCGACTTCACGTCTTCAAAATATTATTTTTATTTCTCTGACATGCCGGTTTCCTCACAATGTTTTCCTTCTCCGTCAAGCAAATTCTAAACGAGCTGTGGTAGCTCAGGGATTAGCGCTCACTGCATATTTGACAGTATGCGAGCAACCTGGTTTCGATCCCTGCCAGCATCAATGAAATTGTTAATTGCAATTCTAAGTGCTGATTTACCACCACATACTTGGTTGATAGAGAAGATGGTTTTCTAAATGATACAATGTATGCCAAGAGAATAGTTACATTAAATACTTTATTCCCGTCACTTGGAGGTGTTTTTTAAATTGTGGTATACTAACTTTGAGTAAAAAACTGTTCACAATGAGGGATTCTTCCACTCACCGCTCAATTATCTTTCGTCCACCAGATGTCACTTATTGGAATTGAGCAGTCTCCTAAAAATAAGAAGTGACGTGCCCATGTTTCTTGTGACGTAAATATTTGATGAGTACACAGTCATTTAAATTTGTCTGATTCATCTCAATGTAACAGGTATTCCCGCGTGAATAATTGGCGGCAATTTAACAAATCCATTAATTATCTGTTGATTCTTTGTTGAAATAGGGTCCTGTTAAATTGGTACATACTACATGAATATTATTTTTAGCTTCCCGTTATGAAAATCAATGATATTCAAAAAATCAGGAAGTTATTGTTTTCAATTCGATTTTCGAAAATCGAATTTTTTATTAAATCTCGATGTTTCGATGTCCCAGGAAGCTATTTTGGCGATGATGTCCATATGTACAATATATGTATGTTTATGTACAGTTGTGTATGTACATAAACATGTCATAACTTTGTAACGGAGTGTCCTATCGAAAAGTGGTTTGCGGCATCTGAAAGGGCTTCGCTAAACTTAGATTCCCTGTGAATTTAGACTGAATCAGCAACAAATATCAAACTTCAAAAATTCATGTTATTATATTTAAAAAAAATGTTTGATTCATTCTATAATCTTATCAGCTCTTCTACTCAAAAAACGACGTCGATTGCTACAAATCGCGTTGTAATCGGTTGATTCGTTCGATAGATGTCGTCGAAAGAAATCTCGAAAAAGTGTTTTTTCAAAATATCTCGATTTTTTTATACAACAATATATAATATAACAATTCTATCTTGAACCTGTTACGGATGTGAAATATGAAGCGCTTTGCATTTGAAATTAATGAGAAGTTACAATGATGGCATGTAGGCTCAACCATATGTTTTTTTTTTTTGATGAATTTGGGTGACAAACGAGCACACTATCAACCTGATAACAGGATGCTGTGGCCTATAGACACTACATACATTTATCCTCGATTAGGAACATTTATGCTCGATTAGGAATCAAAATGAAAGATGCTCAGAGAAAATAGAAATAAATGGACGAAAGGAAATAACAGAATGAACCCCTCGATTTCAAAGAAAAAGAGAAAAGCAAACGATGGTCTGATGATGTCAAAAGACAGCGGGCCCATTCTGGCATCGAACAGCTAAAATAAGAAAAAAGTGAAATATGCTGGAACACAGGCCTTTGGGTTGCAAAAACACGCCGACACTCAATAATGATTTTCATACGTGGTAGAGCCGTGCTGCAGTTATATTAGTAGTATAGTTGTAGCATGAATGGGTCAGCTCGACCGGGGTAGGACCACTCTTACACCATGCACCGCAACCAATAAGAGCCCATCTGAACTACTAATGAAGAGATGTTTACCTACACTTTTGGATACTATACATCCAGATTCAGCAAAAAATGAAAAAAGTGAAACACAAATCAGCAATAACAGTCAAAGGAAAAATAGAGAAACTAATGTAGGTCAGGAGATTATGTATCACAACTACAGCAGTATTGGCTCAAGATGGCTTCCAGGAAAAGTAATTAACAAAAAAGGGCCATCAAATTATGAGATCAGGACCAATAATGGTATAACAATCAATCGACATATTGATCATTTAATTAAAAAAGAACCTAATATTCAATGTAAGGATTCAGAAATGCAGGACGGGGCAAGAATGGTTAGAGCCTCTAAATCAGTAGAGGATGTATATCCTGAGAATTCAGATAGTGTCAACAACGAAGAAAATCCAGAAAGCAGTCAAGACTCTGATATAATAATTGAGATTCCACACTCTAATAAATGGGCAGAGATTAGGAATACCATCAACAGCAGAGACTACACTTTCAACAAGTAGAAAGATAAAACATAAGTCAAGTTTACATTCCAAAACACCATATGAAAGATCAAGTGCTAATAGAGAAAATCTTTATCTTATGTTTGTGTTTGTTTGTAATTTGTATTAATAAGTATCATAAATTAGACATGATTGATTTCAAAAGCTATGTACCTATCTTGTTTAAATAATTATATTGTTTACGTTACTTACTAATGGAGAAGATATGTCATATTCAAAGATTTATTGTTATTTTATTTGGGGGTACTTGTTTACTTTGTTAACTAATAAATTGAATGTAGGTAATTTAATATTCACTCATGAAGTGTTTTTGTCTTTTGTCATACTACCAAGCTTAATACATAACGATATTCAACCGCTGTGTTTTATTCTATATATGTACTTATTAATAACCCTTTTTTAAGATGTTTGACATATCTATAAAATGTCTGAACTAATTATAATAAAACTTCACAAACAGGGAGCAATGCCCGGATTGATGTAAGCTATATTTTAACCGAAAAACATAGGCAATTAAAAAAAACGAAAAATTGTTAAAATGAGCAGTCTTTAATTATCTAAATACTACGCGCGTTACTAGTTATTATACTAAATCACATTTTTTTTGTTTGCAGGTAATCCCATGCGTTCACCCCATCCCAGGTGGCATGTACCCTGGCCGCATGATTAGGTTTCAAGGCAACGTGCCTCCCGGTGCGCAGAGGTGAGTCTAAATACTGTACTACTTAACTTGCTGGTGTGTTACTGTGGCTGTAGCACGAATGGGTCGGTCTATAGAAGAACCAAACTCGCGTAGAAGTAGAACGAAGTAGACAGCTACTGTGGAGAACCGGAAACCCTTATTAACACTTTTTTAATATAAAAATTAATTATTTTCAAAAAATCGGAAGCTTGTTGGTTTCACGCCGGTTTTCATAAATCGAGTTCTCATCAGATCTTCTCATTTTAAAGGTCTAGGAAGCTATTCTTACTATTATGACTATTCTTACAAGGATTTCCCTTCGTATGTGTGTGTATGTATGTAAACTCCTTATAACTGTTGCGCGGCTAAGTTGACGTCTGGCACTAGCGCCATCTAGCGTCGGGTAACAGAGCGAGAAGAGCTTTCCAGAAAATGACATGACTAATCTTTCAACCGACAGCGCCATCTAGTATCGAATTGAAGAACTAAACTTTCTAGAAGCACTACACTCAAACCTTCGGCGCCTGGTCGGTTGGCGCGCGTATTTACTTGAATATTCTGGATGTTTCGGTGAGAATGTGTATTTAAAGGCGCTACAATACGCGATCGAGGAAGTATTGAATTTGGCGAGACAAGCGAAGCTTCGGAACGAAATAACAGTTGCTTTTAGTGTTTAAGTTTTAATTGTAAAGAAATTAAAGAGTTAATTTAGGTAATTCTATCCAATTTTATTGTTACGAACCTCAAGCTCGTAACGTAACTTTTGAACAGCTTGACCTTAAACAAATTGAAATGTGGTTCACGGCATTCGGAAATGTTTTATTGTTATTGTGTGAATTTGAATCAATTCGGCTCGGTAGATTTTGAGAATCTCAAAAATTATTTGTTCAAAAAAAAACGAGTGGTATTCAAAAAAAAAACTTTTCTATTTTAGAACAATACTTGTATAATCTACATAAAATCATACACCTGCAGAGTCCATACAAAAATGGTCACAGTTCAGTATTCATCAATTAGTTTCGGCCAGTTCAATACTAAGATATATACACATGACTGTAACAAACCTTGAAATAATACTAGTTTTTACGGAATTTATCGAGTATATTCAACTTTTTAATTTTTAGTCGGTTAACTATGACATCTGGACGTTGAACATCTCAGTCCCACCCGTGACGAGTGCTGTAAAGCGGTCGAAACGTCGGGTATTTAAAAAGTTAAATATACGCGATAAATTCCGTAAAAACTAGTATTATTTCAATGTGTAGTGTTCGCGTAAATATAAGAAATCATTATGTAACAAACCTTCCCGTCAACCACCGTTACCTTAAACTATCCAGAGGGTCGTGCATGTAAACCAAAAGAACCACGAATGAAATTGTAGGCCTACAATAATTATTTACTAATTGTGTATATTTATACATAAAAAATGATTTTTTTAGATAACTTTTAAACTAATGTATCAATCTATTCCAAAGTCTTATAAGCTCTTAACCTCAAAAAACAATATAAATTGCCCCAAACCGCATCAAAATCAATACAACGATTTCATTCAAGAGAAATACAACGATTTCCCTTGAACTTAACCCTCTTAACAAAAAAAGGTGGCGAATGTTTTATACACATTAAATTTTCGTAAATACATAAAAATGTATATAAAGTAACAACCTTCATTAAACAGTTTTTTAGAATTTTAAGCCTTCTCCGTTCCTGAAGTCAGCTAAAAATTGCATCAATTACAGATTTGCGATTAATCTCCAGTGCGGTCCGAACACGGACCCCCGCGACGATATAGCTTTGCATCTAAACTTCCGTTTCGTCGAGATGTGCGTGGTGCGGAACCATCTGACCGCCATGAACTGGGGCGTGGAGGAAACCGCTGGTGGTATGCCACTGGTGAGGGGTGAGGCCTTCGAAGCCTTGGTGCTGTGCGAGCCCCAGTCCTTGAAAGTAAGTGGCCTTACCGTTTCTGTTATAGCCTATTAAAGTTCACTGCTGAACACAGGCCACCATAGATGGCATCATCATAAGGGATCCACGTCTATTACTATATATGACTATACATGATGTTAGTGTAAACACTGTTATCCTTGAAACCAGTGGTTTCGTTTCACTTATAGAACGTAAATTCAATGAATTTAAAAAAAAACGCTATTTTCTTTCATAAAATTTAAAAGTTTCTGTCCGACACCGTCTGTAAATTCATGGATACCCTATGCGCCCGAGTGACGTAATCACTGTAAAGATCACCGCCCGCGCTATCTACCTACACAACATTCCAATAAAAACACAATAGGTACACATAACCTGTGATGTAACTTTTCCTTCATACTTTCATATTGGCTGCTGCAACAGGAGAATTAAGAAAAATAGATTTTACTAAAAAAAATGTTATTTTTTATTGAATTTACGTTCTATAAGTGAAACCAAACCACTGGTTTCAAGGATAACGGTGTTTACACTAACACCCTGTATAGTACTGTTTACACAGTGGATCTAGAGGCAACGATGCAGCGGATGAACTGGCCAGAAGGGGTTTGGCTCTGGAAACTATAGAGCCGGAACTTATAATACCAATCCCCTTTGGCTACGTTCGTTCACTGGTATGTAGATACTTCAATAATTTACACGCTCAGCTTTGGAAAAATTTAGTAGACTGTAGACAAGCTAGGGAGGCCCTACCTGAAATAAACAGTCGTCTAACTAAGGTTCTAATGAGACTGAACAAGCCACAAATCAGGATAGTAACAAGTGCTGTCAGAGGATATGGCTGTTTTAACAAACATTTGTTTACCATAGTTTTTAATGATAGCGACGGCTCACGTGTTGCTGAGATGCCCAGAAGTCGCATCATACAGGGTTAGACATTTCGGCACGCCGGGATCGCTCCCCGAAGTTGCTTGCAACATCAAAGGACTGTTGAACTTCTTCGGGGAGATATCATGGCTCGAATAAGCATATTATCCTGCCCACACGCAAAATACGCGCTCAGACGTGGAGTTGCGGAAAACAGCCCGTCGTGAACTAAACTACTATTTATTCATTCATAACAGCATTTAAAATGCCACTGCTGAGAATATAGGCCTCTCCCATAGATTGGCTATAGGGGGATATTTGCCATAGTTGCCACGGTTGGCAAGCGGGTCGGCAACCGCTGTTTTTTTCATTTCTAGTCGTTATTAGGAAGACTTAACTGCCCATCTCCTCATTTGTTTCCCTCTGTAACCTCTACGACCGCTCCATGTTAAAAGAAATTATGATGGCTCTTTGCAATTATTATAATATCGACTGCCTCGTTGGTCTAGTGGTTGTAGTAGTGCGACCGCTGATCATGACATCCTGGGTTCAAATCCCAGGTCGGGACAAAAAAACAATTATTGAGTTTTTCCGTCAAGAAATTCTCAGTAGCTGCCCGGAGTCAGGAAGTTGGCGGTGACTCACTCCCCCGCGCCTCAAACGTAAAGCCGTTGGTCCTGCGCCTGATCTCTCTCGGGTCGTGTCAGTTTACCGTCCCATCGGACTATTACCGTGAGGCAATAGAGAGTGCACCTGTACTTGCGCATACACTTGGGCACTATAATCCCGTCCTGCGCTGATGGCTAGTCTCCGTTGAAACTGGACCCCGTGACTGAAATTCGGTCTGGAGGACATTATTATTATTATTAATATCTATCTGCCGATTAAGTAAATACCGGCATGTATATTAATTTACTTTTATATTTGTAAATTATAATATTATTTGTAGTGCACTCTACCCATTAATTAACTTTTCACTTATTTTTATTTCCTATTTAGGTTGTCTGGAAGAAATTTCTGAATAGCAATAAGACCGCCTTTTGTTTTTCTTTTCTTTTGTTTCTTGTTATATTATATGTTTTCTTAGTGCACAATAAGGATATTGTATTGTATATTGGTGGGTCAATATTTACACTTAATTTTTTTTAATTTCCCATGTTCTATCCTGGAATTTTAATGTTACTTACAGGTTGCATTGAATGGTGTACACTTTTGCGAGTTTCCGCACCGTATTCCGTACCAGCGCATATCGCACCTGACGATAGATGGTGACGTCATGATGCAATTTGTGGGCTTTGAGGGAGCCCAAGCTCCACCTTCTCAGGTCTACATGGTGAGTAGAGGTTTAAGTGATTAACTTACAACATTTAAGTAAGCGCATGTTTTACGTGTCAGAGCCACGCTGCAGCTATATGATGGTTGCAGTACAAGTGGGTCTGTTAAACTGAAATAGCAGTTTAATACTGCTGTGTTTTGTATAGTGAGTGTGAGATACAAAGCATTCCATCTTAGTCCTAAGGGGTCACAACATATCTACATTTTGATTCTTAATCGAGGATAAATGTACATTTCTATGAGCCTCAGCGTCCACTTACCATCAGATGGGCTGTGTGTTCATTTGTCACCCTTATTCTATAAAAAAATGTTGTTATTATAGTTATAATAGAAGTTTAAGGTACATAAAATAACATTTAACATGTTGTATATACATATAACATTTTATTTTATTTAAAAAATAACTGCCAATCAAATCAAAAATCTAAACACAAAATATCTGGCTGGATTTTCATGTTGGGCCATGCACAATGTAGAGGTAGGATTCCATAGTTGCCGGACACAATATGTGAACTTGAAAGGTCCTTTTTGTTAATATGAGCATATTGAGTTTGTGGTTTCACTGGTATAACAACTAAAAATGGGCCCAAAAAGGACGATGGTCAGAATGGTATTCAAAAAGATTAAAAAAACTTTTTTCTATTTTTAAAATAATACTTGTATAATTTACATAAAATTATTTACCTGCCAAGTACAAACAAAAATAGTCACAGTTTACTATCCATCTGTTAGTTCCCGGCGGTTCAACAGTAAGATATATACATGACTGTAACAAAAACCTTCCCGTAAACCACCGTTGCCTTAAACTATCCAGAGGGTCGTGCATGTAAACCAAGAGAACCACGAATGAAACTGTATACCTACAGTAATATAAATACTAATATAATTTCATACGTGGTAGAGCCGTGCTGCAGCTATATTATGGTTGTAGCATGAATGGGTCGGCTCGAACGGGGAACGACCACTCTCACAGAATACCAGTGTAAAATAGCAGATTAATGCTGCTGTGTTTCGTATGGTGTTTTTTTTATATGATAACGGTGACAATCGAGCACACAGTCCACCTGGATGGTATAGAGATGCTGTGGCCCATAGACATCTACATTTAACCTCAGTCAAGAATCAAAATGCAAATGCCTTGTCACCCTTGAGAACTAAGGTGGAATGCCTCGAAAAAAAGGTCTAAAAAGGGTCTCCGGTTCTCTACACTCACCATACGAAACACAGCAGCATTAATCTGCTATTTTACGCTGGTATTCTGTGAGAGTGTGGTCCTTCCCCGGTCGAGCCGACCCATTCGTGCTACAACCATAATATAGCTGCAGCGTGGCTCTACCACGTATAACATCGTGAGTGTAGAAAACCAGAGACCCTTTTTACTGGAAACGAGGCATTTCATCTTAGTCCTTACGGGTGACAATGCATCTGCATCTTGATTCGTAATTGAGGATAGATGTAGATGTCTATGGGCCGCAGCAACCACTTACCATCGGGTGGACTGTGTGCTCGTTTGTCACCTTATCCTATGATTTTTTTTATATAAACATATATAACTAGCGATCCGCCCCGTCTCCGCTCGGGTGATTTCTGGATCTCGACAACAGCGCCACCTACCGAGTTTAAATGTAATTTTTTTTATTTATTTATAAACGTTAATCCCACACTAGGATTTTCTCCTTTACAATAAAAAATGAATCATATAAATCGGTTGCTATATGTGAGAGGCCTGTGTGAGGAGTTACTGGGGTTAATGGTTTAAAGCTTGAATTATTTTGTTTTAGGCCGAGCCTCCCGCTTACGGTTCATATGGGGCCCCGCCTCCAGTGTATGGGGCACCAGCGTATGGTGCACCTCAAGGTAAGCAGTTTTTATACAAATTTCGCTTGAAGTGTAGTTAATCTAAACAATGTAGTGTAAATTTTGGAGTGTCGGTTAACATTTTGTGCTTTCAATGGAAAGATGTGTGCGAGGGGTGATTTGGACGGTATATACAGGTTATTCGGTTTATCCATCCTAAAACAGCCACCATATATTCTTTGTTATTAGTGCAATAAGGTAGTATACGTCTCAGGGTTGACCTTTTAGTGTGGACAATCGAAATATGCTATATACAAAGACTTATGCAACATACATTCTGCTGTCAAAAGAATGATCTATTTCTATATTTGTTATCTTTGTCTTATGGAATTTTTAAGATTTTAGGAATTATAATTTGGTAATGATATGTAGCTATTCCATAAGTCATCACTGGCAAAACGCACTGGTTGTACAGTCTCATTTTCAGGTTTTAAGGTACAGTGATGACTTATGGAACTGAGATGTGGTTCTTCACTGCTGGCCGTATGAGGACGCTCGAAGTCGCTCAGCGTGGTATAGAGAGGCTCAGGGTTTGTCTGCGTAACTTAGAAATGAGAATATCCGCAGTAGAACCAGAGTGACCGACATAGCCCAACGGCTTAGTAAGCTGAAGTGGCAATGGGATGGCCATGTAGCTTGAAGAACCAACAAACGATGGGGGAAAAAGGTTCTCCAGTGGCAGCCTCGTACCGGTAGGTGAAGTGTAGGGCGATCCCCCACTAAATGGTGTGACGACCTGGTGAAACAAGCAAGAAGTCGATGGATGCAGGTGGCACAGGACCGTGCTGGGGGAGCCCAAGGAATGCCACAAGTAGGCAGAGGCCTATGTTCAGCAGTGGACTTGTGAAGGGCTGTAATGATGAAGATGTAGTTATTGTAGTGCATGGACACCTGCAGCCAACTTTGTTACATCATCATCATCTTTTTAACGTAACAAAGAACTTTACAGAGATGTTACATCTCTAAGGACTAAGATTTTTTTTTATAGAATAAGGGTGACAAGCGAGTACACAGTCCAACTGATGGTAAGTGGATGCTGTGGCCCATAGACATCTACACCTATCCTCGATTAAGAATCAAAATACAGATGTGATGTCACCCCTGAGAACTGAGAAATGCCTTGTTTCCAGTAAAAGGGTCTCCGGTTCTCTACACTCACCATTCTAAATGCAGCATTGTTCTTCTATTTCGCGCTGGTTTTCTGTAAGAGCGTCCTACGAGCCGTTCTATATCCGTAATATAGCAACATGGCTCTACCACGTAAAAATAAGATGATGGATGGAATGCCTCACAGCAGTAATAATACTGGCTCGTTGTGCCCCTCAGACTGTGCATTCCCTGCTGCTTGTATACAGCACAAATATGTAAGAGGGTGGTACGACAGTCACAGAATGTACTTTGATAGAGCTATTATTATCGATAAAACAATTCATTACGATCGATCAGATATAACTTTAATCGATAAATTAAATAAAACGGTATATCTAATTGATATAGTTATCCCAAATACCCATAATCTACATAAAACTATTACTGAAAAAAATCATAAATACACAGAATTAAAAGAAGAAGTAACTAGAATCTGGAAAATGAACAAAGTATTTATTGTGCCGCTGGTGCCATCCAGTACTGGTGTGATCCCGAAATGTTTGTCCCACTCCCTTTAACGATTAGATTGTCTTGAAAATAGTTACATTACCGTGCAAAAAGTAGCCAACACTTGCCGTATTGTCCGCAAGAACTCAGAACTCACCTCGAATTTTACTACTTACTATTTTCTTTTATAATAAATAAACATCATCTTTTTGCCATTGCTTTACTATTTTAGTAAATAATCTTAATTACTTTAGAATTTACTAGAAACCATGTAAATTTTTATATTAACAAACAATGTGGTAAAGCATCCCACCACAGCTATATTATAGCTACAGCACGAATAGAATGGTTAAACCGGAGAATACACTCACAGAATACCAGCGTGAGATAGCACCTTCATGCTGCTGAAATTTTTATGATGATGAGAACCTGAATCCCTTTCTAGTAACAAGAGTGAAAATAATTCTGCATTTTGATTCTCAATCAAGGAAGGATAGATATAGATATTTATGGTCCACTGTATACATTTACCGTCAAACGGCATGACAGCGTGTTTGTCATTTTATTAAGAAAATTTTAAACAAAATGTTTGTTGCATCAGCCTGTACTCCATTTCTGGTAGCGTACTCTACAGACAAGGACAGCATGTGCGTGTTCTCTTTAAGTAATCTACAAGTAAATAAGGTTGTAGTGTCTGTTTTTAATGTCAAAATAACAGCTTTTTACTAAATTTATATGAAGGTATATACTGTACTTATAACAAAAATAAAACAAAAGGTAAGGTGGTTAGATCGTTGACAACCAAAGCAAAGATCAATAACAAATATATATGAAAAAACATAAAAATTAAAAATGTGTGTACTGCTGCATTCCTCAAATGTACTATATTTTTGCATCTTTTTTGGGAAAATACTATATTTGTTCAAAATAAAGAGGGTAACCCTATGTGTGCGTGTTAGTGCAACATCTGTATTATATGCTTTATATTTTGATAAAATTATTGTATATTTGGTTTTGCGACCGTTTTAACATATTGTTTTATTAGGCATGCCTTCTTCAATTTGGCATTTTGCTTTATATACTATTTATGTTTATATTAACAAATTTTCTAGAATTCTGTCATTCTTTCTGGTATAAAGTTACTGCAAATAACTTGAAATGTGAATACCGTTGTTGTAATATTATAGCACATGTAATTACTTTCTCCACTATCCCTTTATATTTTAAAAATGTGTCTATCAAATAATATAAGTTTAGTTTTATAGTTGTAGTACGAATGGGTCGGCTCGACCGGGGAAGGACCACGCTCTCACAGAATATCAGCGTAAACTCTGTGTTTCGTATGGTGAGCGTAGAGAACCGGAGACCCTTTTTACTGGAAACGCGGCATTCAGTCAACAAGACAACGCATCTGCATCTTGATTAATCTCGGAAAGATGTAGATGTTCATGACCCATAGCATCCACTTACCGACATTTCGACTGTGTGCTTGTTAGTCACCCTTATTATACAAAAAATATATTACAAAGCATGATTGAAGTGTGTATAATTATATTTGTTAAGGCTGGTGTAAATAATAAAGATTAGACTGCCAAACTTTGGTTTGGTTTCAAATTTAGACTAATATTATCTTACTAAGGGCCTATTTTTCATTCTTCGTGAAAGTCATCTATAAATTATCTGTTAAGGGCCACCTTAATCTAATGTCGCTGATATTACAACATAGGTGTAACGTTCTATTAGACGGAACGGCAGAATATCATTCAGACCGCTGGTTGAACGGCGCCGTTTAGTAAAACGACTAGGTTGTTAAGCTAGGCTTTTAACTGAAAGCCCAATTGTGCTAGTTGACTGTGACATATACAACATATCTTCCAAGTTAGTTAACCGATATTTAACTATAAAGAAGTATAATTTTCAAAGTAATTTGACCCAAAAGCGTAGAATAATTTGAATTAAAATTATATGACCTTTAAATCAGGAAACCCACTTTTGACTAAGAACGTTAGTCATAACTGTTTTTGTCTAAGGGACATTTATTGTCTGATTTATGCATTTAAAAATGGTTTTTACTGGTTGTGAGTTTTGACTGTATCATATCTATGCTAATAATAATGCCATAAAACTTTATAATATATTTAATAAATGATTTCTTTTAGAATAACGAATTATTAATATTTAAGTATTTTATTTTATTTCTACTAACGTTTTTGCGCGTTATCGCGAGTGAAAGTGTGTTTATACTTACAAGAAGGTAAGTTTCGTATGTATATATTAAGTGTGTGTTACATGTTGACAGTTTGTTTGACACTAATTTTTTTATAGAATAAGAATGACGAACGAGCACAGCACACCTGATGGTGAGTGGATGCTGTGGCCCATGGATCTACATCTATCGTCAATTAAGAATCACTATGCAGATGTCGTCTCTGAGAACCAAGATGGAATGCCTCGTTTCCAGTAAAAAGGTTCTTCGGTTCCTTATCGCCAGTTCTTTTGTAAATTTATTACTATATAATTAAAAATACGTTCATTCGATACAACATTCAAAAGGCCATTTCTAAACGTAGGCCTCCCCCATAGATTAGCTCATAGGGGAATTCTGCCATAGTTGCCACGCTTGCAGGTAGGTTGGCCCGCAGGAAGAACCTGCTGCCCATCTCCTGTTTAGTGTCCCACTGTCGCTTCTTGCGACACCGACGGCACGATGTGGGCTAGTGGGTGTGCTCCCACCGCCACTATATAGCGTAGAATGAACAAAGAAAACTTACTAAGGAGAAGTATATATATATATATATATATATATATATATATATATATATATATATATACAACACGTAACATAATTAACGCACTTTGAGTAAGTAGGAGAGTTTACTGAATCGATTCCTATCATTTTTAATATAGGTAATTTTTTATCCCAAAAATAATTAAAACTACGTAAATTACAGTCACACTAAATCTGTACATTCAAAACAAACTGAAATGGACTGTAACTTAAGGCAATAAAATTTTTGAGAGTACAGTTTTATTTGTATTATTACTAATTGTGTCATTCCATAAAAATAAAGAAAAATGTACTTTATTTCAAGCACGTTAAAGTCTTTGCGTTCGTGGATTTGTACTGTGACCACAACATTCTTCCGGAATTAGTATAACTAATTTGATAAATAATCAGTGCATAAAATGTTTAACTAAAAATTCAGTGTATGTATTATGATTATAATATAATATACTAATTGGGGTGTCTGAGGGTGTGCGTTAATTATATTACATATTGTATATATATTATATAACGCACGTTTTGCACGTTTTCATTTATATACCGTGTAGTGGTGGTAAAAGGCGATATAGAGAAACAAATCGGATGGTCAGCAACGTCTACCTAATAACGACTAAAAATGAACACTGCGGTTGCCAATTCGCGTGGCAACTGTGGCAAAATTCGCCCCCATGAAACAATCTATGCTGTAACGGTAATGCACTTTTTGCACTTTTTCATTTATCTACATATTATTGTCTGCTAATAATGATTTATTAAAACACACACACACGCACGCACAGCATGCGTTTCTCACGTGGTGACGTCACGTTGCAACTATGATAAATGAGGCATTCCATCTTAGTCCTCAGGGAGTTGACAACGCATCTGCATTTTGATTCTTAATCGAAGATAGATGTAGAAATCTATGGGCCTCAGCATCCACTTACCGTCATGTGGACTGTGTGCTCATGTGTCAAACTTATGCTATAAACACACACAAGCACTCACACACACACACGCCTTAAAGTCAAAGTGCCTGTGATACCGTGAGACTTAACGACATCTTAAAATTAAATAGCATTTAAGTGTTTGGCCAAAAGTCTTCCAAACACCATTGGGGCAATTCTATATTACCTATAGATGTCCCAAATCATCCTCAGAAATGAGAGGTCGGTGCCTAACTGTAATTATTGTAATTTATCCAAGCGACCGCAGCTTAGTGCTGAGGTACTAATAAAGTCAGGATTCGAATCCACTGCATGCAACTGTGATGGACCACTCCTAACACCATTGAAGTAATATATACTACGTACTAGAACAGACACCGCGAACAAAATCTGTGCGACAATGTGGTACGCGTGGAAGAACACAGAGTACCATTTTACGCCACAAACTGCTAGGTCTTGCAAGCGACTAGGTCGCGGCGTCTCTTCTAATACGTAGTACATATTACTTCTGTGCCTAACACAAAGCATTTTAAATATAAGAAATCACAAGCATTTTAAACTTATCTAGAATGGTTTACGGACTATCGGTAATGTTGATAATATTTAAAGTCTATTAAATATACAGTAGAACGCCGATTATCCGAATTAATTGGGTTCGGGGTCGATTAGGATAATCGAAAATTCGGATAATCGGACAAAGACGGGTAATAAATAAAAACGAACTGTCACACGTAGAATAAACTTTATTAAGTTTAACAAACACGGTTCTACAACAAGGGAAGAGCTCACTGACAAGCACTGAAAGCCGCGCGACGCAAAACATGTAGTGCCTTGCCTCTAGCTTTCAACCATAGCAGTTGAAATACATCTGGACTCCAGCGAGTTCCAACTTGTTACAACAAAACAAAACAAAAATTACATCACTTACAGTGCTTGGTTTTAATTTTTTATATTACGCTTAGGACCGATTCGGATAATTGGAGATTCGGTTAATTGGAGTTCTACTGTATGTATTAGTATGAAGTACTTTAGTAGGTTCTTTGGCTATACTCGTAATAAAATGGGTTGTCATTTAATGGTTTTGGGTTATCTGTAGTAAAAATATTGTGACGTATTTTTTTGCGTTTTATTTGTAATTGTACCATTTGGTAGTATTTTTTTAACTAGCAACATTTTGTTCATTTTTCTTTTGTTTTGACGCAGGCTTCTACTGATGGCTTATAGCGGTCGCAGCTGGTATCTAAATGTAGGTGATTTTTTTTTATTTTTTGCTTTTATGACACAATTGTTAACTGATGTGTAAGTTCTTATATCTTCTTCATAATTTCGTAACAATCCACCGCTGGACCTGGATTGTTCCTGTTTTAAAGAATATTTTATTTAATCACGCTTAACAGTCTGATTGACGATTGTATTAGTAGACCTCTGTTCCTCATCACCGGGTCTATGCTTTTGGCGATTGGCCTTAATCTAAATCGGAAGCTATACGATGTAAGCATAGCTATCGAGATGGATGGAGACTTTATTCTATAATCATTTCTACACAGTAGGTAATGCAGATGATCTGACAATACTGGTCTCTGGAAGGGGCAAGTATGGTGTGCGATCTGACCCAAGCCGCTCTCCGTATAGTGGAGAGATGGTGCAGGGAATATGACCTAACCATTAATCCAAACACAAAACGAATGCTGAATAACTCGTCTTCCAAGTCTTTTCAGCACAAAACTCCAGCTATCCTCCGAGGTAAAATACTTAGGTCTTACCTTGGACAGCAAACTTAACTGGTATAAACACAGAAACAAAATCGACAAATCTAGTACGTAGTATGTTACCCACCGCAAAGCGTTAACACGGCACTTGAAGCTAAATATAAAACTAAGAGCAGGCAAGTGTGTTAAGCGCATGGATGATGAGCATTGGCATATCAATGTAATGAGGGCTAATATTATTCCGATTTTTTTATATTATTTGTCACACAATGTCATTTAATTGAGTAGTTAAAGAATCATGCCCATTATTGACCTGAAAATTTTCTAACGTGTCTAGTGATGAAAATATCTTATAAAATTGCATATTTTTTTTTCTTATTTCGTATCGCATAATTGAATTTTCGTATTAAGCCAGGAAAAAAAGTAATGTTACTTTGTTTATCATTCTCAATAGACTTTTAACGAAATGTTTACAGCCCCAGAAGCTATGCCAAAATATATTAAAATCGTGTTTTCCACGTTCCATTTCAGACTACGAAAAATTTGTTCATTCGTCATTCACTCCACCCCAGGAGGGCCAGTGGAAAAATTAAAAAAATGTTTTATTAATGTTCAAAATAACCAATTTTTTTTATAACTTATTAATTTATGATTAGATACGATTGTTGAATGAATGGTTGAAATGGTATGAATGGTTTTATACTATGGTATGGAAAGAAAAATAAGTGTACAGACTTTATCTGACAGCTGTTACAACCTCAAATTTTTTTTTTTTTTTACTTATGTAATAGCATTTTTCCCTGGCCTTTATACTAAAAGATGATAAGTTATTATGTTATTACAAACAATAATTGTTTTTATACAACAGTAGTTGTAGGTAGACGCGACCTGTTAAAGAAATCAATGTACGGAAAGTGGGCATGACTCTTTAAGTAAAACTTTATCAATTTCTAGAGTATTGTACTAATATACACAAAAGAATTCCTCAGTTGTTTGCTCTTTCAATTTTTTATATATTTTTAACTTTTTTAAATATTTCTACTTTTTGGAATATCCGAAGTTTTTTTATAAATTTCTTATCTAATTAATATAAAATATAGATAACATTTCATAAACTTTAACCCTTACATTTTCTAACCTAAATTTACGTCTTCCACTATAAAATCTGTCAAATATTTCACCTCATTCCAAATTCGTCCCACCCTTGTTGCCTTCATTTTTTTTTAATAACTGGCTTTACGCTCTGGGTTCTGGTCCTGCTGAGCGTTTTTGCCTTCATTGTGTGAGACGACCACAGAGTATGTAACGTGTAGTGAAAATTATTTAAGTAAATTAATTGGCGGACTTAAAAAGTATTAAAAGTTACCAGCCATGCAATATTTACAGTTAATTTATTAGATAAAATTCCACTGCCAAGGAAGAAATGTTTTTCGAGCGTATTTATTTATGTCCATTTCTCAGGCAAGCGGTGTAGCCGGCTTGATGGATTTTAACATAAGGTGTCATAAGATTCGTCTTAAATGTGCTAACATGGGGTATAAAATTTTTCCCTTTTCAGTAAACTTTTTTAATTAATATTTTAACCATAGGATTAATATACCATCATCTTGGCTTGAATGCAGCCAACATGTCTATTTTTTAAGATCTATTTTGACTCATTATCTATTCACAAACAAAATAAATTTGAATTTACAATTTAACATCAAGCTATCGTTTATAATAAATGTTTTGGACTTGCTTTTAGGAATTCAGTATCTTCAAATAAAACCTCAGGATATAATTATCCAAAAAGTGGTATAATTTAATATATTCTCTCACAGATAAAAACATGAGTCAGTTATCCAATAAGACTCCATTTGCACGTGGTAATACGGTGCTGGACGGTGAAGGTAAACATCATGAGCATGTGTGAAAACACAAAAAAAAACAATTGCGAAGTTCACATACGGTAGAAATGAAACCTTCAGAACTTAGACGAGGCTACGAAGCACCGCACAAAGGGGAAACCTAGATAATAGGAAATACTGCATACTGTATTCTATCTCATTCTCTCACAGGATAAATCCTATAGATGTATATGTTTGTCTCTTTTTAGTGTCGTTTTTCGTTTCATGGTTTAAACCACAACGACTTTAAAGTAGTTTTCACTTTAAAATGTTTAAAAAATTGCATGTAACATCCTCTAACACACAGTGCAACGCAGTGGACGCTTACTTGCTCTCAAACGCTGCCAGAAATAAAATAAAAAAACGTTACCCCCCCCCCCCCCAGGATCCTGTATCGTGGAGGTAGTTTACATACGTAAATTGCAGATGGACAAACAACCCTGACTCAGCGAAATTATTTGTAGGCCGTAAAAATTCTTGTTCCGTGCGGAATTCCACCTCGCAGCTCCCAACACAACGCCGCAACTGACTTGGCTTCCAGTATGAAGCTGCTACCAGAGAACCTTTCTTCTCCATCTGTTCTTTCATCAGTCACTCATTTTCTTCTGCGGATATTCTTGTTACGGTTTCGACACCCAAGAACATCCGAGCATTCTCATACGACCAGCAATTAAGGGCTACGTTTCGGTTCTGCGAGTCATCACCGGCAACAAACACTGTGGCCGCGGGTTTGAATCACCCATGGAACAAGTATTTGTATGGATTTCAAATAATTGTTGGGGGTCTGGATCGATCCTTGTGAAATTTATGTTTGTAGACTGCCTCCGTGATATAAGTCAGGTCCGGGAGACAGGAGGAGGAGGAGGAGTAGACGTTTTTTAAGAGAAAAAAAAACTAATTAAATGGTAAACTTCTGTAAAGTAGTCACATTTAAAAACGTGTATTAAAACACTGGAAAATTCGAGCTAGTGCCTTTTTGTGTATCTTTTTTTTTAGTTTTAAAGTATTATCATTATTTTTTCCTTTTCAGGTGCACTTTGAAGAGTTAAAGCCGTCTAACAAAAAGCTCTTCGTACATTTTGTTTGTTTTTTTTTTAGTTGTTTATAAAGCAAATTTCAATATATTATATCGTAATGTATAAATGATTAGGTGTGATTAACATTTCCTTCTTGTTTTCAAAGTTTATTATTTAAGTATTTCTCATCCAAATGTTGTAGCTTATAGTTTCCTTTTTAATAAAATATTTATGAACAGGAGTACAACAGCGTGGGCAAGTTTGATTGGTTCAATTTGAATACGTTACTGGCAAGTAAATTTTAACTGTCAAATATAAAACATTTATTAAAGTTTTGGAGGGAACTTGATAGCAGGTAGATTCTGCAGCTTTCCTGTATTATCGGTTAAATAATAATTTAAAATGGATCAATATATTGTGAATAATATTGTGAAAAATGTTAACAAAATACATGTTAGACTAGGCTGTATGGGCATAGTTCCTTTTGCCTTTTACTATAAAACAAACATTTAATACAAGGTAGAATCAGTAAGCGGACTTATTATGGGTTGTTCTTGCAAATCGGAATACCAGGGTTTCTAAGTATGTCCACCTTAAAATACCAGCGTCGAAAATCCGAGTTCAAAATACTGTAAAGTATTTTCTATTGCATTTAAAAATATATAACATTCAAAACCTACCTTTTACATGGAACATATTAAATCTACAATATCTTATAAATATGAAGCAAAATGGTTGATTAGCGGAATTATGTTCCTTATTTGCATGTAAACAAACTTTTATTACCTAAGGGGTCCAAATCAAGTAAACAGGACTCCCAATTCTCTTAAGTGTTACACCAAATGTGAGGAAAGTCACGAACGTGCGAGTTGGCGTTTAAAATACATCCACGTTTTACTATTTTGGATTCGCAACTGATTGAATACTGCCTTCTTTCGCGTGCTCATGGTATCATATTTTAGATATTTTACGTTATAATTATTTCTTCGAATTCATTCCAGATGTTCTCTCATGTTACGCTGTACTACAGTGGTATCCAATACATAGTTTTCTCACGATGTATAGATATTGGATATTATACCGATCTATAGATTTTGTAACTATATACGATTTGTGTCGCCCCCTCATAGAACACAAGACTCAGGTACGGTGACAGTACCGATATATTGGGACGAATGGCAACACCTAAGGAAACGCCATATTGATTTCTTGTACCATTATACCCATACGAGTATCATTTACATTATAAGTGGTATCTGCTACTCCAGAGATGGACACCAATCATAAAGAAACAAAAAGAACTCATGCAACAAAGACACTGTGAAGAAGGCCCTAATTTACAAAGTTAGATCACGCAGCGACCCGTCAAGTGACAACATGAAAAATTCTCTTAACAAAATAATCAGTTTGCTTGGACAGCGACCTGGGACTCGAGTCGTGTTGACACGACGGGAGATGAGCTGCTGCGGATAAATGCGCAACAAATAAAACAGCTCATAAATAAAGATGGGCACTTACGTGGGGGAAGCGGCAAGCGGCCTGTACGGCCATGCGGGCACGATGATAATTGCGAACTGTTGTCGGGTGACGGTGGTGGCGCGCG